AGAGCTGGAGCTAACAATATTTAACTAACGCTTACAACAATCTCATTATTTATGTGAATTTCATTCAATCCTTGCACAAGAGGATTAATTCAGTCACTGGATCCTTTTAATGTAATCGAGACCTCAGGAGCCAAATCCTGCATTCTAAAATTATAATTTTTACCCTTTACTTCTGCTGTTTAGGCAGGTATTGTGAATAATGTAGCCAGTGATCTTAAAATCTTGCTCTGTAAGAGGAGGCAGTGTGGCGTTCTGGCTAGGGGACTGAACCAAGACTCAAGAGATGTGGGTTCTATTCCTGACTCTTCCAGTAACCTGCTGGGTGATCTTGGGTAAGACCCTTCACCTCTTTTATGCCTCACTTTCCCATCTGTAAGAAAGGAGATAACTAAACTGAGGGCTGGAATATGCTGTGTAGGAACCCAGTGAGATTATTTAATTATAGCAAGGGAAGGAATCTCAAGTGTGAGAAAACACGAAAAAATATCTGCCAAGGGGTACTGCAAGAGTAGAACCTGACTGTAGCAAGAATTTTTGTGTGTGTTTTCATAAACTTTCTAAATGTTGTGTGCTGTGTCCCACATCCCCTACTTTCCATCACTTAAATAGTGCTGCTCTGTGCTTACTTTTAGTGAGCAGAACAATAAAACACTGACTCAAATTTATGTAAGTGATAATTGAAAATAGTTAAAAATGTATTGATTTATAATGAGAGGAATAATTTGCATTGTAGAAGTCGTCTTATATTGTCATGTTGTGGCCTTATGGTCTCTCCTGTTTCCTGTGGTCTCTGCCGTGGGGGTAGTTTTCTTGTTTTTCTTCATAAGTTTCACCTATGGCAGGCTAACAGAGGCTTCTGTGCCAGTTAGTCCTCTTAGTTAACATTTGATGTTCAAGTTTTGAATTAGACTTGTGCATTTTCTTGAAGGAAGTTCCCATGCTTTTCTTTAAGAGGAAAAAACTGGGTTCTTGGTCCCAGAGGAGAAAAATTTTCTTTGGGTCACTTTTGAACTAGTCTGTCAAAAATAGAAGACACAAAATCAAAAGAGTAAAATATTTTCATATTTCTCTTTTGCCTTCACAGAAAGTAAGACCATCTATCATGCAGGTAAGAAAATTCTTTTCATTTCTTACTAAAAGAAGTGCTATGGAAGCTGTAATAGGAACCAATCTGCCTGCCTTTCTTGTAGGATGCTGTGACACTCTGTTCTTATCCTTTCATCTTCGATGCTCAGGCTAAGACCAAGATGCTGCAGACGGATGCAGAACTACAGATGCAGGTAATCCTTCTCTCCCGGTTTTCCTGTCCTATTTCTTTTTCTCTGCCTCTTGCATTGGTGCCTGCAAGGAAGGGTGTTCACTGGGAGTTAGTATGTGCAGCACTTTATTGTGTCCATGATACCGGAGAACCTCTTTGCCCTGGATATTGCAGGGGCAGTACTTGGTGTCTTTCACTTCAAAATGTTTGGTAACATCAGAACTGCTGGATGTGCATGTGGTAGAAACGTAAACTATATAGGGAAGAAGTACTTATGTATTTATGACAGTCCAAGGATAAGAAGTAAGGTGAGGTCTCTGTTAGAGGAGCTGTAAGGCTGGAAAAGCAGACAAGCTTTCAGGTTAGTGGGCACTTCTTTCACATTTCTGCCTGATGTAGGAGGAGTGGCTGTCAAAAGTCAGGGTTGGGTATCAACTCCTGACACCGTTCATGGTTGCAAGCAGCAGCTGTTGCCAGCAGCTCACCCACCTGTTTGCAGTGAGGGGGGCAGAGGCAAGGCTCCCCAGGAGTGTGTTCACAGCAGATGTTCAGCTCCAGCACCTTTACCCTGTTGGTGGCAGCCAAGCCAGCTCACAGCCAGGCTGTGACAAGGACAGCTGGCCTCTCTGCCAAGGTAAACCTCCCAGCGCCAAGCATTGCTCATGCAGGCAGCTCTGGAGAAAGGCAGACCATTAGGCACTGATCCCTCATCCAGTGCAGCTGGGATCTGGGACTAGTCCCATCCTCTGTGAAACGAGTTTGCTGAGGTCCTTGGTAGCCAGGTTCCTTCATGGTGGGAAACTGTCACCACAGTTACTTGTGGCCATGGTGCTGGTTCCATGTAATATCCATCTCTTAGTTTTTGGATGGCCACTCGAACACATAGCCCACAGCAAGGAAGAGGTTTGACCTGCAGTCAGAAGCTGGATTCGCCTTCTCCTGCTTTCGTTTTGTCACCCTCTTGCATCTATTTTCAGCTGCCCAGTTTGTGAGCAGTGCATTGCTGTGAGGAGAGTATCTACCTTACCTTGGCAGGACAGCAGGCTGGTAAAGGTTTTGTTGCCCTGAGAGGTAGGATCTTCATGGAGACAACCACTTGGAGGCCAAAGAAACCAGTACTTTTGTGAGCGCTGGAACAGAGGAAGCCTGGTTTCCAGGGGATTTCTGTCTCTAGGCATAACTGACTTTTAAACTGAATTTACAAATGTGAATTTGCCATTTGCTATGGACAATAGATGAGAATGAATATACTATGTGCGGTCAAAGCTTTGACTGGACTTTGTGCCTTACCTGACTCCCGAAAATCCATGTAGATGAGAACATTCAATTGCATGCAGTGGGTTCCCCGGTGCCTTGCCAGGTGTGGTTGTCAACGGGCTCCTCAGTTGGTATGTTAGTAACACTGCTTTTCCTCCTGGACTCTGACTCTTATCAGGGTGTGTTCACACTGAGTTTCTTGACTCAATAAGGGCATGAGTAAAGCCTCTTTTCCCCACCCATCTGCCTAATGTCAAAAAAGTTCAGGAATTTGATCTCTCTGCTCAAATTTGGTGAATCAATCAGTGGACTCAAAAGGTGTTGGTTTGGGAAATGGGGCGGGGGGGGACGGGACAGGTAGGCATACAGGCACACACACTTGTACAGAGTGAGCACGTAATCCTTGTAGACTGGGGAAACCAAACTAAAAGAGTAAGGAAGAAAGGAACACCAGGTATATAGTTGTTAACTGTTTTCCTTCCATAGGAAGAAAGGAGCTGAGCAGTGGCTGTTTTTCACCCCTCTCTCATTTACAGGTTGCAATAAATGGGGCAAATCTGCAGAATGTCTTCATGCTTCTCACCTTGGAGCCTCTGCTGGCCAGAAGCCCTTTCCTGGTACTTCACGTTCGCAGGAGTAACTTAGTTGGTGATGCTTTAAGGGAGTTGAGCATCCATTCAGACATTGATTTGAAAAAGCCTCTTAAAGTAAGTTT